GACCGCGAAGTAATCTTTGATGACTGGTACAATGATGATCCCTTTGTCAGAGAGCTGGTCCCTCCGACGGAACAGTACGATCACACCGAGCGCGCGGAAGCTCAAAAGACACAGAATTCGTCGGAAGTTCCGAGGAAAGATGACAGCGAGGCGGTAATCCAGAATCAACAAAATTTCACTATCAAGATTCAAGAGGAGCCGAAGATAAATATAAAATTTCCGTGCTATAATTCAAGAGGAGAGCTTTGTGAGACGAGTTCTGTCGCTCCCGATGTTGCGCTTTCCACGCCGAGTGCAGACGAAAAACTAACTCAGTTGCCTCCGAATTATTTCCAACCATGGAATTTTTCATTTATCACGAGATTGCCTGAAAAATCGGTGACGTCTGTTCCTAACGAATTTTCGATCTTCACCACACAGTCTCCGATCATTACTAACAGTAATGTTGCCGCGGAAGAATCAAACTTGAAGATAATCACGCCGAGGAGCGTCTTAGGCATCAAAGATTCCGAAGAGAAAACAGAAAATACGACGAGTGATTTGCACGATTCAATCAATGTAACACCTTTGCGACAACTTGTGAAACAAATAGAGGAGAAAGTTAAAAATGTTATGAATGATCAACAAAATTTTAAAATCCTCAAATCGGTCGAACAGGAAGACGAAGTTACTACTGTTTCGCAGGTGCCGAAGTTGTCCGATCATGTGTCTTCAGAAAAAAAAAACAATTTTCTTAGCGATGCGACCCGTCGATTCGAAGAACCGGAGTCAAAAATTGCCTCGAGTCTTCTTCCACCGCGGTGGAAATCGTTTCCCGAGCGGCCGCGACCATTTTCGGTGGAAAATAAATATAATATAGAGAAGAGAACTGAAGATGAACCATCATTCCGCACGACGATTCTATTCCCGCGAGGCAGAACGCTGCTCAGAAATGCAAATTTTAAAGCACCTGCCTTTGAAACCTTAGAGACATCCACTAATACCGCTGAATCAAAGACACCACTGAATCAAAATCTTGATGAAGAATTCGATTTAGCAACTCCATCAGATCACTCGCCGTTCAGAAAAGTTTTCAAGACGTCTTTCTTTGGCGACAGTTCTGTCAAATTACCTTTGAAGCCATCATCTGACGCTTCTTCCGCAACGGAACAGAAGACAAATAAATCACAATTAACAGAAAACAAGACTACTCGACCACTTCAGAAGGAGGAAATCTTGGAACAATTGACGGAGAACTTTGGACAGCCTTTGTACCGCGGAGTGATCCGTAGACCATTTGTCTTCGATCTACCACAAGTGCAGAGAAGTTTGGACTTCGAGACCGGTTTGCCAATAGAAGAAAGCGTGCGAGTAACCGACGAAAGCGGAAAGGGAAATCCGGTATCTTCTACAACGGCGACGACAATGCAGGAAACAACTACGACCACAGAATCTATAAAAACTACCGTCGAGACCGAATTCGTTCGTTCTCTAGGATTTTCCCTTGACATCAACGCAGATCGCGAGGAGTATGTTCGAGCGATTCTTGGAGGATTGATCGACGAGCACACCCGTGAAGACGACGATAATGAATCTAACGTCACGCAAGTAACAGATAAAATCTTAAAAAATGAAACTTCGACACTTGAGCCAAAACACAAGAGTTCGGAAGACGTCTAACGATAAAATTTCGAAGAATGTTAAAATCAGAAGTATCTTTTAAAGGCCCTTAAAATATCTTTGACAATCAGTTTCATCAATATCGATTAATAATTTCTAAAATTTCAATTAAAAGAATTAATTAAAATTTTTTAAATTAATTGAAGTTGACGAACTCAGCCATTGATGAGAAGCCATTGACGGGTGATATGACACCTAACTTCTTAATATCGAGAGACCACGGTATGTAAAACTGTTAATTCTATTCTAACTATTTTATTAAAAGATAAAAAAATTTATAAAATAAAACTATGTTAACATATGTTTAAATAGCGTGTTAAAAATAAATATTTTTAAGATAGATAATGAGTAGTCGACTTGCATTTAGAGTTACGTTAATGTTTCGTTCACATTAGACACTAGATTGCAATTAATAGTAAATATAATATGACAAAGAAAATGATTTAATGACATAGACGTAATTATTTTTTTCCCCCTTAAAATATGTATTTCTTAATGTAATCGTAGAAATACTTTCCATATTGTTATTTACATTATAAAATGGTTTAATTGCTGGTTTACTTGCAACCATGGGTTTCGATAAACACTCGTATTACTTCATACAACTGTGTCTTGCTCATGTGTAAGAGAAGGATAGTATATATGTGTAACAAAATGTGTGTTTTTTTCGATATGCGTGTAAGAAAACATAAATAAAATTACGAATATTTTGTATCTCGTCTAATCCTCTCTTTCTCTTAAAGTTAATATAATTCTTTTTTGAAATATATCTCGTTATACAAAGTTTACTGTGTAATCAATAAATACTCACTTACCCTGTATATCCTACTTCCACACCGAAAGACTATTTATTCACTATGACAACCACTGCGGCGCAAACTCCACTCTCTCTTCAGTATTCCGGAAAGACGATTCAATCAATTCAGAATACTGTAGAGAATAGTTATTTACAGTGAAAATTTTGCTGTTTTTAATTAATTGTAAATAAAAACTCGTATTGATATTTTTTTACTTATTAAACGTTAAGAAAATAAAATATTACATATGTGTAATACAGAAATTAAATTTACGAAGTAGGATCTTATTTTTAATTGATAGGTAAAAGGTTATATCACATTAAATAATTTTATTTTAAGGAATTAATCAATTTCTTAAAAAAATTAATGTCAGCGAAATGGAATTTTAGGAATAGGAATTTTAGAATTTATCGGAAATATGGACGAAGGTGATAATGAAAAAGAAAATGAACAGAAAAGTGCGGATAAAGACGAGAAAGAGACCCACATAGATTATCGGTAAGTACCGCATTAGTTAATAACATTGTACTAACATTTTTTCTTGTCATCGTATTTAATACATGCAATTTATCACACCGTTTTATTATTTAAACAGAATAAGATGGATTCGCGATAGAATTTTGAAGTTTCTCGGACTGACAAACCAGGAACATCTTTTTGACGAACTTATTAACGTAATTAACCTTTCTTCGTATATAATTTAAAGTTTAATCAAGATTAAAACCAATTATATTTAATTATTAGGCGAATAATAGGTACTTCGAAGATAAGTTACTCAACTTTCTTATATTGGATTTATACGGAGTGTCAGATGTAGAAAAAAAGTTGATGTTCTTCTATAAAACCTACGTCAGTGAAGTATTTCAGGAGGAGATCTCCGTGTGGGAAGAAAGTAAGCTAAAACGCGGTTTTAAAGAGGGTGTGTCAGGTCTTTCAGCAATAAATTCTCTTATCTATCTCGTAAACCTGAGATATTCTCTGCAGCATACTACATTTAGTAGACAATATAATAGAAAATCTTGTTGGTATATAATTTCGATATACGGCAATTGCCTGTGACTTCAGGTCAGCGCGCAAAAATAACAGCGTTAACAGCATTCACTTCAAAGAGCAGAACGCAGAGATTAAAGAGCGCTTCTGGTAAAAAATTTCGCAGTTCTTAAAACTGCATGGTACCTGCCAGAAACTGCACTTGTATATCTTTTGTAGTCACACAATTTTAGATATTATGTTAATTATCATATATCAATAACGCAAAATATTTAATACTAATTAAAAAAAATTTGTTATGCTTTGCTCGATAATACGATTGAATATCGCATGAAAATCACCGATCACATCTTTATATATAAACGCATTTTGTTACAATTTGCATAATGAAAGCATGCAGCATTTTATCCTTCTGCTATTTTCTGTCTAAAAATTTAATGTTTATTTTCCTTTATACTTTTCTTTCTTTTGTGCAGATTTTAAAATAAAAGCAATCTTGGAATTGCCATAATATATGTAGCTCTCATGATATTTTTAATAAACTTTTTAATTAGAGCAAGAAAAAAGTGAGTTTACAATATTCTTCGATAACATTAGGAAAAGAGAAACTCGAGGATGACAAGAAAAAAGACAAAAAAGCAAAGAAAACTAAGAAAGGCAAAGCCAAAGATAAAGTGGATATCAGTCCATCTGATACCAGCGTGAGCACAAGCACACTGCATGGTCCAGAATCAAGTGAGGAGGAAGAAGAAGAAGTCGAAGATGACGAAGGTGGCGAGGATGGCAGTGGCGATTTTTCTACTTACTCTAAAAAAAAGGGAGAGACGAAAACCGCGCCTACCGGTTAGTTTGTGTGTCGATTTTAGATTTGTTTTGAAGATATATATGCAACAGATATACAATTAATTTTCAGATAGTTCCGATTTTGTCCCGCCGCCTGGAGAAGAGGATAAATATGTCCTCACCAAGGTTAGCTAATTAACAAATTAATGTGTTAATTAACGAAATCAAATATAATTCCTAAGTTAACACAAAAAGTAAATGAAATTTTCGCCAATGGAAAAGAAAACAAATTTCTCAAGCTGATAGCTAGCTTCGCTACTTTATTTAATAAATTAACTTCACTAATACTAATTAATTTTAACTGACTATTCATCTCTTTTCAATATTAGAAAGAGAGAAGTAATCAAACTATATGATCAAAGCAAATTAAGTGAAATCGATCGTAAACATTGTGATTTATGACAATTGCAGAAAATGGTGGAGAAAGTTCGCAAGGTGCCGAAGCTTCACATGATATGCGGTCAGATAGACAGCAGCAGAACCGACCTACAAGATGTCACGTTCTTCTATTTTATGCGCACGAGCGACGAAGGTATACCTTCCTTCGATACATACGAAGAGTGCCTCGGTGAGATCACGGGTTACGTGGTGGTCGGCTCGCTAGGCCATAGATTCCTGCCGTCTTTGGACAGAATACTGATCGACGTAAGAATTGTTCAATATAATCGTGAATGATTCTGGTAATAATCCTTTCACCGGTCGACCATGCTGGCATTAAATCATTTCGCAATTGCAATCTATCCCAATTTATCACAAGCTAAACTGTAGCGCTATTCTGTAAACGTCTATGAAACTAATCTATCATTTTCAAAGATTAATTTCACGCATTTCTCATTAATTGCAAATCTTTAAAAATTATTTATTTTGGAAATATTTGTAGACGTTTATAACTTTAAGCTTAATTGCATTTTTAACATGCTTTTTCTTGAACTTTTTTAAAAAGTTCAAGCTTGTGATGTAATCAGCTGATCAAATAATCGAACAATTCAGAATACAATAAAACGCTAGATAGAATTGGAAAGTTTACGCAAAAACTAAGATATTTTACGCGTAAATTGTATTTAACTTGTCATCTATATGCAGACAATGTATATTCTGTGGCTGCATAGTTTTGTTAAACTATATTGTTGTCGAAAATATTTTTGTTAAATCTGAGATCGATTATCTCAATCAAAATTTCCGCAATATTTCATAAAGCGACGATTTCTGTTTAGTACATATTACTATCTGCATTAATTTAAATTTCAATCTGCATAACTACATTCATTTTTTAAATTATTATTTAATAATTGTGCGTACATCCACAAATAATCAAGAATACGCTCTGTGTACTGTAGAATTAATTATATAACGCAATACAAATAGAATTTGAGTTCCAAATGGATGCAGATACTTTGTTACCCGCGTATTAAAGTTAAAATAAATAATTTTTGTACTTATCGATTCAAGATGCGCAGTAGCGGAGTTGTTAAAGCATTTTAGAACTATTTTAAAAAGTAATGATACAACGATATAGAGCGACTTCCACTATTACCTATTCACGTATCGCCATGTGAGTAACAAGGTCAAGATCGCGCGTATAGATCAGGGTGAGGTACAACAACAATACGCTTTCTCTACGAAAAAGCCAAAACAAATACAACGAATAGCTCGTCAGCATATTTCACATATTTTACATATTACAAGATCTATATTCTATTCTTTTCGTTTTAAATTTTTATTTTGACAATCAAATATTTGATATTACGCAGATATTTATCTTTAATCGCTAGCTTTTAATTAATAACTTCTTGATTTATTTATTCTTCTGTATGTTATAATATGAAATAGTAATCGCGTCTTGAAACACGAATATTTATTTTTCATATGCGGAAAATGTGATAAATATAGTTTTAAAAATACGAAAGATATGAAAAAGAATTCTCTATTTTGAACTTCAAGTCGGTTCGAAACACGTCCTTGTTATAAATCTCATTATGAGAGTTGAAGCGTACAAACTGTTAGATAATTGTGCTATAGTTAAAATTATTAATTAGCAATCACAATCGCGATTTAATACGGATAATATAACGGAGCGCGGTACACACTACCTGCCCGCTCGAGTGTCGCCGTGCGACTAAGCCAAGGTTACTAGATGAATTCGTACTACACATGTGGAATGTATTCTTGATCTACAATTTGTGGATGGAGCACAGCGTGCATAAAACACTGTAGATGTAATTATAAAGAATTTCTGATGCTAGGTATTTAAACCATTGGTGGAAAATCAATTCAGAGGGCCCGAATTTTCCGAATTACGGAAGAAAACGGATGATGACATAGATGCAGCGAGTATCGAGAGGGCAACACCTACGTCAACGGGTGTCGAATCTCAGGTATATAAAATACTATTTTTTCTCTCATAATAAAAATAAAAACATAATCTGTACCCGTAAATCAGCGCTCGGAATTAGTTGCACATTTCGGGCCAATTCCCGAGACGATGCCTTCTGTTCCCCCACTACCGCCCGGCCGCCAGCGGAATAGGAGGCGTCGTCTCGGGAATCGGCCCGAAATGTGTAACTAATTCCGAGCGCTGCCGTAAATAATTACTAAACTGTAACGTAATTTATTTATGTAATTATTTATTTGTATTAATTCACACACAACTGATAATTTCAAAATCAACAAATTATTAACAACGATTTTATAACTTTTATTCCTCATTAAAGAATTCAAGACTGAAAAAACCATCCGCTTTCCGAAAAGGAAAGCTCGAAAACGACGAAGAAGGCATTACAACTCCCAAGAGCATTTTACAAGATGAGGATTCAACAAGTAGAAGACCAAAATCAAGTAGAAAATCTGCAGAATCAAAATCCAGCAGGTCGTCTAGTTCGAGGGAGATGAGACAACAACCAATAATCGAACAAAGCAAGAAGGATATTTTATATTATCTTGACAATCTGATCGAGAGCGTAACATGGTTAGAATTATTCTCTTACATAAACGATTAATAAAAACTGTATTTATCTATTGTTAATAGCCCAATCTCTCTGTTTGCTAATAATCTTGTAATTTTGATTTTAATGATTTAGGACGTTGGAACATATCGAAGGCGATATCTTATTGACGATGCCGCAAATTCCAGAGTTAAACGATCCTGCGATAACAGACGAAATGCTAATAAAAAATAAAGATATTGTCGAACAAATGGAACAAGTAGTCATGTCGTGGGAGAAACATATACAAAAGGCAAGTTCCTGTACGCTTTTATAATCTTTTTGCAATTTTGAATTACTCGCAATAAAAACGGTGCTCTAAAAACGTTAATCATAAAAATAATTGATAAATAAAACTGACAAATAAATTGATATATGTCAATGTCAAAATATTGTGACAATAGTTAATAATTTGTCTGTAAATGATTAAAAATTAGATTCTAATAATAATCTAATCGAAATATTTCATTTTATTATCGCTCAGGTGTTAGAGTCGTACGCGCATAAAGTGATGCCGGAAAAAGGACCACTAGCTGAATATCAGTACTGGCAGAAATGTGAGATTGGATTAACAATGTTGGTTGAACAATTAAAAATGCCCGATGTTAAGAGGATACTCGGTCTTTTAGAACAGATATTTTCGCCAATCGCTACAAGCTTTCAGTATTTCCAGACGGAACTTTGGAAGCACTACGTTGAAGCCAGAGATAACAATAAATTCATTCAAACGCTGTTAAGATACTTTAAGGTATTTATAGAAATTTTAATCATTTATATTTTTACCATAAAAATGTGATATTATTAAAACCAGAATTAAATTTTGTAAAAGTATTTTTCGATTAATTTAGAAATTTTTTGAAAATATCCAGATATTCGTAGCTTTTGAATTATAAGTATTCAAACATAAAAAACTGTCCCGAATTAATATTATAATGGAATATTTATATTATTGTAATAAAATTTTAATATCTCAAGCTTATATCAAATTCAATAACATACAATTAAATTTCTGCTGAAGAAAAATCAGTTTTAAATGTGAATCTGAAAATAAATTGCTAAATAATTTATAAAAATATTTTTATCAACACCGCAGTTGATTGCCGAATCGGATTCATTCAAATCTATAGCGGAGTGTATACCTTCGTTGATGGAAGGACTGCGAATGCTCTGGGTGTTATCGAGTTACTATTGCCACGAGGAGAAAATGTTGATGTTGATGGACCGAATATCGTGGGATCTTTGCCAAAACGTTAGAAGAAATCTAGCAATCGTGCTATTGTTCAAGAAGCCACTAGAAGTGATTTTAGACAAAACAAACGCAGCCAGCGCGATGCTGAAACAATGGAAGCAATCGTACTTGAAAACCAGACTGGACATTGAATCATCGGGAAAGGGAACACGCTGGGAATTTGATCAGAAACATCTCTTTCAAGAAACAGAGTATATTGCCGAGGTGTGCAGCGATCTGCACAAGGTCGCCGACGTACTTCAAGACTTTTACAACATCTTCGGCTCCGATTTGAAGTCCATCATAAACGATCCGGCGCAGATCGACGCCGTGGTGAAGCGCGTAGACGCGCTAGTGGTGCCGATTGAAGAGGCCGACTTTGACATCTTTAACGTGTTTAACAAGGAGAACTGGGAGGCCATGACCACGTGGTTCTACGAGGAGGTGTCGTATCTGGAGGACCAAGCAAAGTTCTACATTGACGAGTGCTTCACGGTGTTGATCAGCGCTGAGGACGCGCTGGAGATGCTGCTAAAGTTCAAGAATATCAAAACTCGCATGGCCATCCAGCGGTTGCTGCTCCGCAAGTTCGACTTGATCATGCAACAGTTTAGCAAGGAGATCAGCATGGTGGAATATACATTTAACCGTGGCAAACGCTCGCCGCCGTTGCTGACGTATCATCCGCCGATGGCGGGCGCGATCTTCTGGGTGAGACAGCTGTTCCATCGACTTCGCAGGCCGGTGCTGATCTTCCAGGAAGTGCGCGAGTTAAAGCACAGCGAACTGAAGCTGCTCGCGTTCAGCCAGTATTTCGATATCGCGAAGCAGCTGAAGGAATTCGAGGAAGCAAAGTACAGCATGTGGCTCGATAAAGCGCTGCTGACGGTGACTGCCACCATGAAGAAGAGCGTGCTGAGGATGGTGCGCGTCGAACGCGACACACCGGCTACTTTGACCTTCCCGGACGAAGAACAAATCGCGAAGGACCTTCAGCTGACTCATCTGCCGCAAAAAATGAAAATCAAAGACGCGACCTCCGTCTTATCGAGTCCGCGAGAATCTCTAATGAGACATGACATTATAATATCAAAGCCCAGCGTGGAGATTGAAAGTTTCGGTGACGAAAGTTCCAGGATCGTTTCGCAATCGCGCTTGGAAGCAAAACCTGATAGATTTTCGCTAAGAGAATACAAAACTTCCACCGTGTCTTCCGACAAGCACGACACCCGCGCGAAGATCACTTGGACGGAGTTCATGAGCGGCGCCATCTTACTGGAGTGTCAACTGCGCTTTCAGTTGAATTTCGACTGGGAGATCTTCGAGGTCATTCGAGAGGCGGAATTAATGGAGCAGCTCGGCTTCGAGCTGCCAGACGCTATCAGAGACGTCGGTGTTCAGAAGTTTCGATTGCGATCGGACATCGACACCACTGAAAAAATGGTTAATCAGTACAACAGTATCTTGAATACGTTCGACAAAGCTGATATACAACTGTTGAAGCAGACTCTGCTGGATGTCGAGAAATATATTCAACCCGGAGTAACACGATTCAACTGGAATTCATTGAGCATCTCAGATTATGCAGCGGATTGTCACAAAATGCTGAAGAATCTAAACTCTATCGTCGAACAAGTTAATCAAATGAAAAAGGAGCTCGACAATCGAATAAAGTCTGAGCTGCAATCATATAATCTGTTTTCCACGAAGAAGGAAGTTGCCGAGTCGGAAGTTCTCTTGCCATGCAAGGCAAGTATTTTATGAGTCCAGTTAATATTCTTTTCAGTATAATTTTAATATATTAATAAAACTATATTTTTTCCAAGAATAAAATTAAACAAATTAATTAAATAAAAAATAAGAATCCTTCTCTAACGTTTGTAATTAAATAATTTTTGCAACAATGCATTACATTTAGTCACACGATAAAAAAAGAGAGAACTATTAATTTATAATTAACTAATATTCTTATTTTAACCGTAAATATTATTCAACAAAATCAAACTGTTCATTAATGCGACACGTCAATTTTTTCTTTGCAGACATATTTTCAGGAGCTAAAAAATCGAAGGACCGAGCAGGTATTATCGATGTCAAAAGCTTATCAGTCGATCAGTCCGATGCTAGTGAAGCTGGAAAGCTTAGTACTGAGTACTGCAACTGGGAAAAGCCCAGCCATGCAACTTTTGTACGAAAAATACGAGAAGAAAATTTTCGCCGCCTTTATAATGTATACAAATATCTTTTTCTTGCTGTTAAATAATAAATTAAAAATATTATTCAGTCATTTTTATGAGATAATTTGATTCTTGTAGATGCATGGTAAGAAATATGGAAGTTTTCAACAAAATGTTAAATGATACTAAGCCAATATTCCAAGTAGAAGCGATATTAATATCGTCCGAAGTAGTATTACGTCCATCGCCCACCGAGATCTATAGCATCATTTGTCACGACGTGCGAGATCTACTGGAAAGGCTTAAAGAATTTTCCAGATGGATGAATGGAACTTGCTTGGAATGTAAACCGCAGAAAAAAGAGTTTTCGGAGGACTTAATTCCTTTTAGTTTCTTCGAGGACGTGCTAGGCATCCGAGTTGAGTAAAATTTGCACATTTAAATAAATTTTATATTGCAATAACGTGAAAGTAAATTTTACGAATTTAGAATAAATTTTTAATTTTAAATAATTGATTTTTCAACTTAAAAAGTATTCTTACAAAATTATCGTAGGTAGTTAACGAGCTCGTGAGAATAGTTCACGACACAGCGCACAAAATCTCGACGGATTGCTGGCGATACTTGCATAGATGGAAGAAGTACAGCAATTTGTGGTCATTCGATAAACAACTGGTTTGTGAGAAATTTGCGGCGACGAAGCCCACACTTTTACAATATGATGAAAAGTTCACGTTTTACGAAAACATTCTGGAGGAACTAGAAGATATGATGCCTTATTTCGACATATACAGTGTACGGTAAAGCGGTACCAACACTTTATAACACAATTCTACGAAATTACATATATTTATTAAGAAAAAATTAAAAATATTAAAAATATGCATATTAGTAAATTTTCATGCTATGTTCTTCTTTTCTACTTTTGTAAAAAATATATTTTTTTTTCAAAATATAAATTTTGGCTTTATAAATTATTATCTGTCAATTCTGTATCTTGATTTATCTGTTACATCTTTTTTTTCCAAAGGCTCAATCTGGAGCCGCTTTTGTCAGGCATCGAACGTCAGGCAAAGGAATGGAAGCAGGTTTTAGGAAATTACCTTCTATCCGACACCGTGCAAGCTATGAGCGAGCTGAAAAGTCAAATCGAGATCTATCGTCGCGAGACCGAGCTGGTGGTCACCGGATTGGATCGCTTCACGTCGATCATGCAAGCGATCACCGACGTGAAAAACATGGCGATCCAAGCTGAAGTGCAATTCCTCTCTTATCAAGAATGTTTTCAAATTATGCGCACTCACGCGATCGAGTTTTCCCCGTCGAACGAAGCGATGGCGTACAAGTTACAACACGATTGGGAATCTTTGTATCTCGGAGCGCTCTACAGATCTTCGACCTTGGAAAGCACCACCGACCGATTCCGCGAGATGACTAAACATCACATAGAACAGTTCCTAGACGAAATTGCGAAGTTTGCCGAAGATTTCGAGGCGCATGGTCCCGGAAGCACCGGAGAGAATTTGGAGCTCGGACTAAAAAAGATGGAAGTATGTTTAAAAAATTTGTCATCTTCTTTTCCGAATGATAATGCATCTTCGATAAGTACAAAGTCGCAACAAATTATGCTCATTTCTTTTTCGTATTTTATAGAAATATGGCAAACTAATCGACAAGCACGAGGAAAAACTCTCGAACCTGATAAAATCCGAAATTCTGTTTAATCTACCGTCCACCGATTACTCGATTTTCCTCAAGATCAAAACGGAATACAAGGACATGGAGATACTATACGATCTTTACAAGAAGCAGATGAAGGCGCGAGATGGCTGGGCGAAGACTCTGTGGGTGAACTTGAATCCCCAACAGCTCATCGACGGCATGGATCACTTTATGAGGGAATTCCGACGGCTGCCGAAATCCATCAAAAGCATGAACGTCGGTCACGCCTTGAGCGCCAATATGAAAAGCTTCAAGGACTCGGTGCCGCTCTTCATCGAGCTGAAGAACGAGGCGATGCGCGAGAGACACTGGCAACAATTGATGAAACAGACCGGACAGTACTTTGATATGGATCCGGACAGGTGTGCGGATGATGAATAGTCGTGAGCAAGTGCTAATTATATGTTCGGATAAACAAATAAACTGACGGTGGACTGCGATTTCAGTTGCAAAAAAAAATAATCGGACAGGAATGACTATTATATTACAATTACGTGCGAATATATGGCGACAAATAGTTGCGAGTGCACTTTTGTATTTTTTTTATTGTATTTAAATGAGAATTACTTGATGTGTACTATTTAGTATAAATATGTACTAGCGTGTAATTTAATATTTACGGGTTTATATTATATACGCGTCCATATCTATATTTTTTAATATGTGCCTATGTAAACGCTGTCTTTTTTGAGATGTAAACTAGATTTTTTTATAATAATTATTGCAGGAAGGCTATGTACAATTTTTTAATCAAATCAGGGTTAAGTTGCATATAATTTTTTAATTTTTTAAAATTATATCTTTGTTTTTATAGATCGTGATAATGGTCGGATATTAGTGACTGTGTATGTTCATTCGGATGCATATATTTACTTTGTAAAAATAAAATTAATGATAAATAGACACTATTTAACGCGATATAAAAATGGCGCAAAGACAATCTTATTCGATAGAGGGGTAAGCTTCTTAAATTACGTTATCTGCTCTCTTTAACGTAAATACACACAAATATCGGATTATTGCAGATTTACCTTAGAAAATATGTTCGCTATGGAACTAGGAAAGTATCAAGACATCGCGCGAGATATCGTGACGAATGCGGTGAAGGAGCTCGCGATAGAAAGAGGGCTGAAGGAATTAGCGGAAATATGGAACTCTATGGAATTCAACGTAATGAAACATTACAAAGGTATTATTTGCAGGGGAGTTAAACTTACTTATTTGAAACAGATGAATAAAATCAAACAGAAAAAATTTAATTTTACTGAATTCTATAAAATAATATTTTATGAGAAATTGATTGCAAAGCACACGATGTTATTAATATCGATTAATCCTATAAATGCCAATTTTATTTATCAGGTACGCAAGATCGTGGCTTTATTCTTGGACCACTTGACGAATTGAATGCGATACTCGAAGACAACATGTTGACCGTACACAGTATGGCGGCCTCGCAATTTATCGGACCGTTCCTCAACGTCGTTCAGAAATGGGAGCAAACGATGCACACGATCTCGGAAGTTTTGGAGGTGTGGGTGGATCTTCAGCGAAAGTGGCTATACCTCGAGGGCATTTTCGCAAGTGGCGATATTCGCCTTCAGTTAGTAGACGAAACGAAGAAATTTGATGATATCGACAAAGCCTTCAGGAAAATCATGACCGACACGTCGAAGAGACTCAATGTCTTAGAATGTTGCACGATTCATGGTACTAAAAAAAAGTTCAACTTAAAAGAATTAAAATAGAATCTAAAATTGTAAACAATTATTATTCGCTAATGTAGGCCGAAAAGAGGAATTTGAAAGCATGATAGCGGCTCTCGACAAGTGCCAAAAATCCTTGACGGAATATTTGCGTACTAAACGCGCCATATTCCCAAGATTCAACTTCATCAGCGACGACGAACTGTTGAGCATTCTCGGCAGTGGCGAGCCCACCGTCATCCAGGAACACATAGGGAAAATGTTCGACAATCTCGATAAATTCAAACTAACGTCAAACCCAGATAGATTGGCGGCAACAGCTCTGATATCTTGCGAAAGAGAGATTATGGAAATTTAGGAGTCCCATAATTACGGAGGATAACATCGAAATATGGATGGGTCTCGCTCTCGAGGAAATGAAAAGATCTAATCGATACCTGACGAAAAAAGCGATCTACAATTACGGCAAGGTTCATGTTAAATTAGTTCTATTTATTCGCACCCTAAATTTTTCAGTAAAATATTATTATTTAAAAATATTTGTCTAATCAATTATTTTCTATTTTTTAATACATTGAAAAATGCACAAAGAAAATGTCATAATTAATTGACAAATCATAAAATTTCTTGGCAAAAATAAAATTTCACGACTTTACATAATAAAATAATCGGTAGCGATAATTATAAACGCAGGTGCGAAGACCGAGAACAGAGTGGATACTCGAATTCCAAGGAATGATGGTCCTTGTGGCCAACCAGATATGGTGGACCGCAGAAGTCGAGGATGTATTCGATAAGATATCTCAAGGAAACAAACGCGCGATGAAGGAGGTAATGCATGCAAAATCCGAATAGAATTTGCGTAGCGTTTAAACAAAAAAAAATATTTCTTCCTTACACACAGCATTTACAACAACTCAACAATCAATTGGACGAAGTAGTGATGCTGATGGGTAATGATACGCTTACAAACAATGATAGGAAGAAGATTGATATGATTCTAACCATCGACGTGCATATCCGCGACATTATCGAGGCCTTTGTTAGAGATAGTATTACGGAGCCTACAGAATTTGCATGGGAGAGCCAATTAAGGTGATTTCATGATCTTTTGTTATTTAAAAATTTAGTAGCTAATTTTTAATATTAACAGATATTCAAGTATAAAATATTTTATGCAATGTTTGTACTATTATTATATTAAGCGTACGACAAACTATTTATATATAGATTTTACTGGGTGCATGATCTGGATAATGTATGGATGAACCAATGCACAGGCAGTTTCGAATATGGCTATGAATACATGGGCCTTAATGGCAGATTGGTTATTACGCCTTTAACGGACAGAATATATCTCACTATCACGCAAGCCTTATCGATGCACTTAGGCGGTGCACCGGCGGGTATGTAAAGCAGGCGTAGTTGCCAATTTATCGATCATGAATCAAGTTAACAATAATTTTTCATTAAATCTAAATGTAATTAAGTTAATAAAATAAATTGTGAATTATATTTTAATTTTAAAAAAATGTAAAATATAAAACAATATAAAACAAAAATATAAAACAAAATATTGAATAACTCAGAAATTTTAACACAAATTCAATAGTTTAAATTTTGTAATAGCTTTCGTAATATCTTAATTTTTAATATTAAGGTCCTGCTGGAACCGGAAAGACTGAGACAGTCAAGGATTTAGCGAAAGCTCTGGGACTCTTATGCATCGTCACCAACTGCGGAGAAGGAATGGATTACATCGCGATCGGGAAGATTCTGGGTGGTCTCGCTCAATGCGGAGCCTGGGGTTGTTTCGACGAGTTTAATCGCATCGACAGTTCCGTTCTTTCTGTTATCTCGACCCAGTTGCAAACTATACGTTCGGCATTGCAAATTAAGACCCAGAGATTCACGGTACATTTGCATAAATATCGAAATTATAGCGCCAAGAATAATACAGATCTAAATCGCAATTATAAAAAAAAATTATTTATGAATAAATAAAATAATTTAATATTAAATGACGTAATTTATCATATTTTATTTTTATTTTCTTTAAAATTTTACTTCTTCAATTTTTTTCAAGTTTATACTGTTCTTGGCTTAATATATTTTTCGAAACAATTTTTTCATTATGATTTTTATTATATCGCGATAAAAAAGAGCCTCTATTATATTCCGCAATGATTAAAAATATTCTCCAAAAGTTTGAAGGTCAAGATATCGTGTTGGATCCGAAAGTGGGGATCTTTATCACGATGAATCCGGGATATGCCGGTCGTACGGAACTTCCGGAATCCGTCAAGGCCTTCTTCAGGCCGGTGGTCTGCGTAGTGCCGGACAACGAACTGATCTGCCAGATCAAGCTCTTCAGTGCCGGTTTTCTGACAGCGAAACTGCTCGCCAAGAAGATGACGGTTCTCTACAAGCTGGCGAGCGAGCAGCTGAGCAAACAAACGCATTACGACTTTGGTTTGAGAGCTCTCAAGGCCGTGCTTAACATGGCCGGGCAACTGAAGAGGACTTCCGGTGATTTGCCCGAAAATGTCGTGCTGATGAGAGCTCTGAGAGACATGAACTCACCTAAGTTTATATACGACGATGTACCACTCTTCCTAAGTCTAATCAGGGATCTCTTTCCCGACTTGGATTGTCCCCGAGTGCGCTATCCAGACTTCAACGAAGCGATTGAAGTGGTATTGGAACAACACGGCTATATTGTTTTACCTGAGCAAGTAAGTGCTATTTTTCAAATAAATTCTAATTTGTCGTTCGTACGTGATGTTGTGTGTGAATTGTTGTATATAAAACAACTATATATTTCACACTAGATTTTAAATTAATTTAATTAATAATCAAATAAAATAAGTAAGATAATCGTCAATAGGTTGACAAAATCGTACAGTTATACGAAGTCATGATGACTAGACATTCGACGATGGTCATTGGACCTACCGGCGGCGGTAAAACGGTAGTCATTGAAACATTGTGCAAAGCACAGACGCACCTTAATAAGCCCACGAAACTGTACATTCTAAATCCCAAGGTAAGTGCTAATTAATTGCAATGATATTATCATTCTTCACTTTTGTTGAAAAAAATCAACGAATACTTTAAATGATTATAATTGATTAAGGCTTGCACTGTCATCGAATTGTACGGAACATTGGAACCTACGACACGCGATTGGACAGATGGCCTTTTGAGTAGCATCTTCCGCGAAATTAATCGACCATTGGATTCCGATAAGGACGAACGCAAATATATACTTTTCGACGGTGACGTTGATGCATTGTGGATCGAAAATATGAACTCGGTTATGGATGACAATAAATTACTAACTCTGGCTAATCAGGAGAGAATCAAAATGCAGAATCATTGTAGCTTGCTCTTCGAGGTAGCTTAATGTGAATATTAAATATCATGCGTTAATTTAAACATTTAAAAAAGTTTAACATTCGGCATTACATTTGCAATTATTTTCATATAAGCACGCAATATAATTTAAAAAAAAATAATAATAACCATATTTAAATAATTCAGTTAATTATAAATCAATGCAAAAAAGGCAATCTTTCTTCATAAAAAAATCTTAACAAATTATTTTTTAAGTAAACAAATACAATAAATTTGATAAATATAAAAGCCTAAGGATTTTCATAAAAGTTTGCTTTTTATGTTGAAGGTAGGCGATTTGCAATACGCCTCGCCTGCTACAGTATCAAGAGCAGGTATGGTTTATGTAGACCCGAAGAACTTGGGCTACCAACCGTACATGGACAAGTGGATACGAGTCAAGAACAAAGTCGATCAAGATTTTCTTCGCGGAATGTGCGAGAAGTACGTGCACGGCTCACTTAAGCTCATTACCGAAGGAACGTTCGGCCTTCAGGCAGTCGAGCCGCTTCGATTGATTATACCGCAAACTGAACTCAATATGGTAACTAGTAAATTCGTTATTGATTATTGATTAACCCACATTTATAGGTTGAAATCACGAATAAAGATGAATAAATTTTATGACATTTATAGAAAATAAAAAGAAAAGCGAAAATTGTATTACATAAATGAAAAATTTCAGAATTGAATTGTCTCCAACAATTCATTTTTTTTATTTATTATTCATCGTATTTTAAGAATAATATTTTTCATATGGCTCTTCAAGGTAACTCAATTCTGCTACATGTTCGACGGTCTATTGTCATGGTTAGAAGATGAATCGAATAAGAAATCTGCAGAAGTCAATCAAGGAGAAGAAAACAATTTGTTGAAGCCAACAATGACGAAAGAAGAACTCTGGGAAGCGATGTACATTCAAACGTGCTATTGGTCCTTTGGCGCGTCTATCGTGAATGACGCCCGTCCCAAATTTGACGAGTACATAAAAAAGATATGTGGACTTAAGCAAATGCAAGATACACCCACCAAGCGGGCAACTATTAGTAAGTTTAATAAAGAAAATAAATAAATAAGATAAATATAATAAAAAAAATAAGTTAACTAAAAAATCCAGTTTTTGTATATTTCGTACTTTCTATATAACATCGCTAAGTTAAAAAATAAAAAAAATTTGTTACGCCAGAACATATACCCGTATCGTTCGCAACCATGTACGATTATGTACTGGATGTTAAGAAAAAAGTTTGGATGGCGTGGCAATGGCTGGTACCGGTATACGTTCACGATAGACAGAAAAGCTTCTCAGACATCCTAGTACAAACGATCGACACCCTACGAACCACATGGTTCGTGAATCTAATGAACAATCTGCAAAGACCGGTATTATTGGTCGGAGAAACTGGCACGTCAAAGACGGCAATTATTCAAGAATTTCTAAGAAACTTGAATCCTGAAAAATATGTGAGTAAAAGAATAATATCGAAAAAATCAAAATGTAATAATTAATTATATCGTTAATGATACAAAGTATTATTAATATTCTAATGTCAAATATAGGAACAACTTCTAATGAATTTCTCCTCGAGAACCACCTCGATGGACGTGCAAAGAAATATCGAATCGGCAGTGGATAAAAGGACGAGGGAAATATTTGGACCACCACCAGGGAAAAAATTAATAATCTTCATCGACGATATGAACATGCCAATTGTCGACACTTACGGAACTCAACAACCCATCGCGCTGCTTAAACTGCTATTCCAAAGAGGCGGCTTTTATGATCGCGAACGCGATCTAAATTGGAAGTATATGAAAGACATTTGTGAGTATCATGTATATATAGAATATTCCGGAACTAATATTGCTTCTTTTGACAACTTAAAGCCAATTTTCTTAGTAGCAATTTTATTAGACGTTACCTCTTGTTTTTTTGTTAAAATTTTAGTATCTTTTTATAATGTATTATATTAATAATTAAAAAACTTTATATTAATATTATAAATACATTTTTCACGTAGATTATTTAGCAGCCATGGGAGAACCCGGTGGCGGCAGAAACGAAGTTGACCCGCGATTTATCTCAATGTTCTCAGTTTACAACGTGACCTTCCCGTCGAGCGAGACTCTCAATTACATTTACACAAGCATCCTGTCGGGCCATTTGCAAACATTTTCCGAGGAAGTTCAATCTATTGCGAGCGGACTCGTTCAACTGACGTTGGAACTTTACGAGGTAATTTCACAATACAATGTATAGCGATATATTTGTTTAAACGTGTAACAGAGTGTTACAATAAGATAACGCTATTTAGACAGTCAGGAAAGAGTTGCTGCCGACACCGTCCAAATTTCACTATATCTTTAACATGCGAGATCTTTCAAGGATCATGGCTGGACTCCTGCAGAGTCATCCTAATTCCTTTTCAGGCGTAAAACATTTCGTTAAACTTTGGAGAAATGAAGTCACCAGAATCATATGCGATCGTCTCATTAGCACACAAGTAATAAGTTTTCTTCTTCTTCTTTTATTGATTAAAGCCTCTATAAACAGTTTTGCCATTCCAGGACGAGAATTTAGTCATTAATCAGATGAAAGAGAAGATACAGACTTATTGGAAGGCAGATCCTGAAGTGATTTCGTATAGCTTGAAAGACCCGATGCTCTACGGTGATTTCAGAAATGCTTTCAGTGAAGATGAGCCCAGATTTTATGAGGATTTGCTAGATTACGAAGCGGTTTACAGCTTATTCCTCGAGGTTCGTTCGTGCAGAAATCGAATTAATCAGTAGCTTTCACGATTGCCTTTCAATCAATATTTTAATTTAATCTAATTAAAAATGGGGAGAATAAAATTATAAATTTAGAGAATTGTCTCTTGTCTGCAGATTTTCGAAGAATATAATGAAAGAACTATGACCAAGCTGCACATGGTTCTCTTCAACGACATGCTCGAGCACCTCACCAGAGTGCATCGTGCACTTCGGATGGACCGCGGCAATGTGCTGGTCGTCGGTACAGGTGGCAGCGGTAAGAAGTCGGCGATAAAATTAGCGTCCTTCGCCGCCGACTACCGGCTTTTCCAAATCGTCCTGAGTCGTGGATACAACGAGGCGTCCTTCCGCGAGGACATAAAGAGCCTATACAATATGGTCGGCGTGGAGAATAAAAAAGTTGTATTCATGTTTACGTCTGCCGATGTTAAGAAAGAGAGCTTCCTCGAGCTGGTGAACAATATGCTGATGGCAGGCTTTGTGCCAGCTCTTTTCAACGATGAAGAAAAAGATGCGATTGTCAATTCCTGCAGAGATACGGCGGTTAAAGCAGGCTTCGATATGGCAAAGTTAGTTAATGTCCATCCTTTTTGCGATAATTTTGGTAAATTTTTCATATTTTTGCATTTATTAAAATTGCAGTTTTATATGACAAATCTGTATAATGCATGTTATAGATTTCTTATTTTTCATATCTTTTTTTATCTCTCTTTTCCAAATCTGAAATTCTGATCTTCAAATATTTAGATTTTTACAGTGTTATACTTGTTGGTAAAGTTTTTGATTTTTCCAGATTCTTAAAACTTGAAGTTTTTGGTAAATACTCTGCGTATTTTATTCTTGAATTTTGAAATAATATCTTTAGCTATTTATCCTTGATTTTCCAGAAAAAGTGTCTGGTCGTACTTCGCTAAGACATGCACCGCAAATTTGCGGATAGCGTTGGCGATGAGTCCGTCGGGCGATGCTTTGCGGACGCGATGTCGTAATTATCCGGGCCTGATTAACAATACTACCATAGATTGGATGTTTCCGTGGCCGCAGCAAGCTTTGATGGCTGTGGCAAACGTCCATATCAGAAATGTAAGCAGTAAAGAAATATGTTCGAATGCAAGATAAAGAAAATGCTTTCTTCCAGAATCCGATCGTGCCGCAGGAATACATGGAGGAGATCGTGAATCACATGGTGTACGTACATACGTCTGTGTTGAAATACACGGCAGACTTTGCGACAAAGCTGAGGAGACGAAATTACGTCACGCCAAGGCATTTCTTGGACTTTATCAACACTTACTTGAAACTATTAACAGAAAAGAGGAACTTCATAAATTCACGTTGCGAGCGTCTTCTCGGAGGTAGCCATTAAATCTTTTCACAAGCTTTGTTGTATTATTTACATATTTCTTCGTTGATAATGTTATTGAATTTTATTTCTTAAATAAATATTCTGTTTTTATCATTAATTTTTTCTTGTCTAACTTTGATCTTCAGAAATTATTTTTCCATATTCTTCGTCAAAAGGGCAAAGCTCTTTTTTATACTTTTGCACAAATAGAATTTTCAATAAATATTTATTACAGGATTGCAGAAGATCGCGGATGCTTCGGTGACTTTAAAAGAACTAAATGAAATCCTTGCTGAGCAAAAAATCAAAGTGGCTAACCAGACACAAAACTGCGAACAACTGCTCGCATCAATCGGCGAGAGCACAAATATCGCGATGGAAAAGAAAAATATAAGAGAAGAAAAGAGGAAGGAAATTGAGGACAAGAAAAAAATGATCGCCAAGGAAGAAGCGGAAGCGAGGCAAGTACTAGCGGATGCTCAACCAGCCCTCGACGCAGCCAGACACCAACTGAACGAACTCGAGAAAGCAGATATTACCGAGATAAGGTTTATCATCTCAAAATAATTAATAGTACAATCTAGTATAAATCTGACAATTGTATAAAATTTTCGTACGCACATTTTTATAAATCAAACATCTATTATTAAGATATCTAATATTGAATGTGAAAAGCTTAAAGTTTCATAGAACTTTTAAGAGATGAGCGAGTATTAAATTTACTAAAAAAAGAACTGGTGATAATTTAGGTCCTTCGTTACTCCACCCGAACCGGTGCAGGTTGTGTCAGAATGCGTCGCAATGCTGCGAGGCGTCAAAGACGTATCCTGGAAAGGAGCGAAAGGGATGATGAGCGACCCGGCATTCCTGAGAAACTTGCAGGAGATGAACTGTGACCTAATCACTCTAAAGCAGCAGCAAACGGTGCGGGCACATTTGAGAAAGACGGATAAGCTGGATCAAATGCAAGTTATCAGCAAAGCGGGATACGGCTTGTACAAATTCGTCATCGCCGTTCTGGATTATTGCACCGTTTTTAGAGAGGTGATTGATGAAACTTTGTGAACTCGAGTTTATCTGCTAAATCTAGCGAATAAATTTGCTAAATTTAATAATGTTAAATGTTCCGAAACTTAATTATTTACTTTTATTCTTCTATTTATCTCCTCTTTTAAATATTTTCTTTTCCTTGCTTCCTCTCTTTTAGTTTCTTCTTTTTTAAATTTTCTAATTTCTGCATATAAATATTCCTAAGCTAATAATTCACTTCCAAATCACCGTTTCAGGTGAAGCCAAAAATGGAAAGAGTCCACACGCTCGAAGTGGAATCCGAGAAAGCCCGCCGCGCCTTGCAGAAAGAGGAATACGAATTGAAGCAATTAGAAAAAACAATCAACGAGTTAAATGAGAATTATAATGTCGCGATGACCGAGCGACAGAAGCTTCAGGATGAAACAGATTTGTTGCAGCGACGTCTTTTAGCTGCCGATAAGCTCATTTCTGGATTGTCCTCCGAGAACGAACGCTGGCGGAAGGATCTGGCAGCTCTGCACGACGACTTGGAAAAGATTACAGGAAATTGCTTGTTTGGAGCGGCGTTCCTCGCTTACAGCGGCCCGTTCTCTTACGAGTTCAGAAACGAAATGTACAACGACTGGCAGAAAAGTATTCTGGAGAAGGACCTGCCATTGTCACAGCCTTTCAAGCTCGAAACGCAATTGAGCAACGATGTCGAAATCAGCACGTAAATAAGATTGTCATGTTTATAAAATAGATACATTGATAGATTCGAGAAGGCAATTATTTGAACTTTTTCGTTATAAACAAAAGGCATTAAAAATTTTTTTAAAATATTAAGTATTTTGAATTTTCTTAAATTTAACAATCTTAAACTTTCGAATTTTCAAAGTTTGAGATATAATTAAATAATGTTTGCTTGAAGATGGAACTCGGAAGGACTTCCGCCGGACGAGTTTTCCGTGCAAAATGGCATATTGACTATCAAAGCGTCCAGATTTCCGCTTTGCATCGATCCTCAACAACAAGCGTTGAATTGGATCAAGAAAAAGGAGCAAAAGAAAAACCTGAAGATTCTCTCCTTTACGGACGCGGATTTCTTGAAGCAAGTGGAATTGGCGATCAAGTACGGTTTACCGATTCTCTTTCAAGATGTCGACGAGGTCGATCCTATATTGGATAATGTTTTATCAAGAAACATTCAGAGTAAGCCGTGAAAATTCTAAACTTTATAATACAATCGCGTTTCACGCGAAAATATAAACATTGATTAAATTTAATAAATGTTTCCGCAGCTGTTGCGGGAAGAACTTTCGTCGTTCTTGGTGACAAGCAAGTAGATTATGATCCACGCTTCCGCATATATCTGACGACAAAAATGTCCAATCCGATTTTAGACGCTGCCGTGTACGCCAAAGCGATTGTTATTAATTACATGGTTACGACAGTAGTGAGTTAAATAATTCTTTATAACTTAAATGATCAATATATCGCAGTATTGAATTCTGTAAATAACAAATATAAATAAAAATTCGATAACGAACAATGAAGCGGATTGAAACAAATTTCAGGGCTTGGAAAATCAACTTTTATCGGTAGTAGTGAGAACCGAGCGACCAGACATCGAGGAACAGCGAGAGACGCTGATTCTAGAGATCAGCGAGAACAAGAACCTGCTGAAGCAGCTGGAGGATAGTCTTCTGCGCGAGATCGCGACAGACAAAGGCAACATGCTCGACAACATTGATCTGATTGAGACTCTGGAAAATACCAAGGCCAGTGCCAACGAGGTGATGACTAAACTGTTCCTCGCCGAAGTCACCTCGGCCGACATAAACAAGCTACGCGAAGGCTACCGTCCGGTGGCGAAGCGAGGCGCTATTTTGTTCTCCGTACTGGCCGATATGGCTGCCGTGAACTCCATGTATCAATATTCATTGATCAGCTATGTGAAAGTATTCGTACACTCGCTAAAGAGATCGCTGCCGGATGCGGTGTTAGCTCAACGACTACAAAACATTATACCGACGCTGACGAAGAACGTTTACGATTATGGCTGTACTGGCATCTTCGAGCGACACAAGTTACTCTTTTCCTTGCAAATTTGCGTGAAGATAGAACAAAGCGTGAACATTGTAGGCCAAAAACAACTGGACTTTTTTATTAAGGGCAGCATGGCTTTAGAGAAATCAACCAAATCAAATCCTACTAAGTGGCTGCCGTTAACGAGTTGGGAGGATGTTCTTAAACTAGCGAACGACTTCTCAGACAAGTTCGAACAACTTCCAGAACAGCTATGTGACTACGAAGACGATTGGAAGAAGGTGAACGATACAAACCAGCGCTTAAACTTCTTCACTTAAACTTATCTTATTTCAAGTTTCTAAACTAAATAACAATGGAAAATAATAATTGAAGTATATCATTTAAATCTTTCGTTTCAAAACTTAAAATTGTTAATAACAGTTATCAATTATTTTATGTATTTTCAAAATTTTGAATGTGCTTTGCTTAATACAAGAAAATTCGAGTAATTGTATTCTCGAGACAAATCAATAATAATTAGTTAATATTGAAACAAAAGAGCATCCTCTTAGGACGCCAGGTATTTAATTAAATAACTAATCAATAATCTGCTTAGTGGTACGACTCGGATACGCCCGAGACGGAGGAACTTCCGTGCGACTATAGCGCGCGATTGACGTCCTTTGAGAGGCTGATGCTTCTACGCTGCTTCCGCGTAGATCGCGTCTACTGCGGCATCATTAATTACATCATCGAAATCATGGGCGAGCAATACATCACGCCGCCTCATGTGAGCTTCGACAGGATTTTCGAAGAAAGCACTCCTACTATGCCTGTGGTCTTTGTCTTGAGCCCAGGCTCGGATCCTACTTCGGAACTGATGAAATTAGCCGATCGATACGGTTGCGGCGGAGGAAAGTTTAGACACCTCTCGCTCGGTCAAAATCAAGACAAAGTAAGATGAAAAAAGCGAATGTACATTAAACTCATGAAATTTACGTCTGATATAACATCAAGTAGAATAATAATAATAAATTCTTTTCTACTTTTTAAAGTCGCATTAATGATTAATTTTCCGCATTTTAAAGTTATTTTTTCATTTGTTTCCCATTTGTATAAAAATTATATCCTTTATGACAGATCGCGCTGAATTTGTTGGAGACAGCGATAGTGAGAGGACAATGGCTAATGCTTCAGAATTGCCATCTATTGTTATCTTTCACGAAGAACTTGGAAAAGATTGTGGAGAATATAGAAAAACCTCATCCCAACTTTCGCTTGTGGCTCACCACGGAGCCCACTCCTGAATTTCCTATCGGAATACTCCAGCAATCTCTGAAAGGTATAGCAAAAAGTTTTGCCCGTTGTAATTCGCATTCTCGAACGAAACTTGTTTGTAGTTGTCACGGAGCCACCGAGCGGACTGAAACTGAATTTGCAAAACACATATATCAACATGCGGCCGCAGCTCTTGGAAAGTTGCCCCCATCCACTTTACAAGCACTTAATTTACGTCCTGGCGTTTTATCACGCGGTTATCCAAGTGAGCAAGTACTTAAGATAACGTCGCACATGTAAGTGAAAACAATTTTAATAAAATGCCACTCAACATCGTAGGAGAGAAGAAAGTACGGCAAAATTGGATGGAATATAGTATACGATTTCAACGAGTCAGATTTTAACGTGTGTATTAATATCCTGGACACCTACTTGACAAAAGCAATAGCAACGAAAGAGTCTGCAGTACCGTGGAACAGCCTCAAATATTTAATTGGTGAAGTACGTCTAAATTTCGCAATCTAAATTAATTTTTTTTCAATATCAAATCTAATTTATATATCTGATTTAACTTTTCTATCGTAATTTTTTTTACATAAATTATAACGCTTATTGTTTCTAAAAAATAATCAGGTAATGTACGGCGGAAGAGTGATAGATAGCTACGATCGCCGCGTTTCCTACACTTACATGGACGAATATTTCGGCGATTTTCTATTTGATGAGTACCAACCGTTTCACTTTTACAAAGACGATACCGTCGACTATGTGATACCGCCGAAAGGAGATCGTGACAATTATTTGCAATTCATCGAGGAACTTCCGTTGGTGAACACCCCGGAGGTATTTGGCCTACATCCAAACGCCGAGATTGGATATTTCACAGAAGCGGTTAAGAGAATGTGGAGGCATCTCGTAGAGCTTCAGCCACAAACCGGTGCGAATACAATCATATTTCCTTCGCTCAAATACTATTTTAATGATATTAATTATTATAAAAATTTAATATTATTATAAATGCCCTCACGCATATTTGAAACTTGAGTTTACAAACTTGAATAAAAAATAAACATATCAAAAATAGATTTAATAAAATACTAAATGACTCGAAAATTAATAACAAGTTACGAGTTTTTATTTTTATTTTTGTCTACGAAGACAATTATTTCCAGAAACATTATAATATTCATTTTTGTAATAAATGATTCTTCATATAGCTCGCTTGGATGAAAAGAGTAAGTTTTCGAGTTTATTTTATTTCTCAATAAATTATAACAAGTCCAATAAAATGTCATATTAAATAGCGGTGAGCGTTACTGGCGTGAGCAAGGACGAAATCATCGCTAACGTAGCGAAAGAAATTCTGACCAAGATACCTACACCATACGATATTAATAAAGTGAAGAGAAATTTTGGCGTGGCCGTGACACCCACTGCGATCGTCTTATTTCAAGAATTGGAGAGGTTCAATAAATTGATAGAAACAATGACGAGGACATTGAATCAGCTGAAAAAGGTAGAAAGGAAAAACCTTCGACTTGAAACATCCTTAATTTATATTTAGCAAATTCTAGATTTTTTTTGTTGTACTTTTCATTATAGTTTTTCAATATAGTTTTAAATGCACTTTTTTAATTTTCACTAAGTTTATAATTCATATCGAAAATATCGGAATGCATTTGGAATCCAAAGTACTTCATTTTAATTTCAGGCCATAGCCGGCGAAATTGGAATGGATGTAGTGCTGGAGAATATATCTGTGGCGCTTTATAACGGTGCCCTGCCCAAAGAATGGGCTAAATTGGCGCCAGACACGCGAAAAAGCCTCGCCGGCTGGATGAGCCATTTTCAAAAGAGGATAGACCAATATACTAATTGGGTATGATCGATCATCGAATTATCACAATGCTACTCCGTCATTCCATATATGTTTCTCTATGATTAATAATCCTTTTTTTTGCGCTTTTATTAGTCCGGCGCGAATGAACCCGTGGTTCTTTGGATGTCCGGATTACACGTGCCGGAAACTTATCTGGCAGCTCTGATACAAATGACTTGCCGTAAAAAGAATTGGCCGCTCGATCGCTCCATTATTTATACGACGGTATCGAAGTTCTCCAAGCCTGACGACGTAGAGGAAAGACCCGACGAGGTGGCTATATCTTTTTGTTCTTCTCCTCCATCGCGTTTTACTGAACAATAATCTTAAGTTATTTTTGTCCGCCGCGGTTTATACAGGGCTGCTACGTGTATGGCTTGTATTTGGAAGGCGCCAGATGGGACGTCGACGAGCATTGTTTGAAAAGGTCACATCCGAAAGTCCTCATGGAGGAGCTGCCGATATTGACAGTCATTCCTACTGAGGCTCATAGACAAAAGTTGCAGGTAACAAGTTTGTTTTTCCACGTTTCGTATATAATTTGTCCATATATTGCTGCAAATATTATGACGAACAAACGTCTCGCCGTTTCTCAAAAATTTTTGTTTTAAAGATTTAAGCCTCTATACTTTCAAATAATTCTTAATTTTTGAAGAATTTCCAGATTGTAAAATAGATAATTATTTTTATATCCATTACAGAACACGTGCAAAACTCCAGTATATACTACGTCGAGTCGGCGAAATGCGCTTGGTGTCGGTTTAGTATTCGAGGCGGATTTAGCGACGCCGGAGCATATTTCGCATTGGACACTTCAAGGCGTTTGTCTAGTGTTAAATACGGATTAAAAATTCTCGAGATCAACCGCTATATTCTTCAATTTATTTCATGTATTTCATTAATGTTGTAATCAATTGATATACTAGTCGTAGAATAGATACGAAACTATTGAACCATTCTCAATAGTCATATTTTTAATTACACATTTATGTATAATTCTATGATTTATTTACGCGGAAATAGAATGGAAAAAAACAAGGAGAATATCGGGTTATTGCAATAATAATCGATAAACGTTGAGTCAGTGTTTTAGAAAATTATAATTTCCAACTAAATAGTATTCTTAATTATTAATCCGCGATACTTGAGCTGTGGCAAACACAAATTGTAAAACGAACTATCGACAAAGTCATCCAGCTTTTGCCATTTCACCCAACAATTGTTCCTTAACTGTTCTGCACTTTTTGCTTTTCCGACAAAGTGCGGATCTACGATTAGCAGATATACACCTCCAATTCCAATGTGTATTCCTACTACACATTTGCTTGAGCAGTCCCTATCTCCGCCCATCATAATTGGACTGCCGAATTGCTTGAAATGCTCTTTAATGTTATCTACCTGATTTGTCAATTCCTTTCCGCTCGGAACGTGAATTATTTTACTAAGAACATCGTACAACTGATTTATGATAATAGATATCTACAAAGTGTTAAACATATTAAATCTTCTTTACGCCAAACCAATAAATATTAAGCAAAAATTAAGCTTACTTCGAAACTCCCTATCCATTCTCTCGATCCAGCAAACGTTTTGTCTTTATCCTCTGTTGCAACAAGTGTGTGTTGTATTGTATTAATACTTGGAACAACCCAAGTTTCCAAGTTCTCATTCTTTATGATCCAAGAGCAAATAGTTTGCAGCGTTCTGTATCCACATCCCCAACCCTGAACAAATGTCAAATGTATCTCTCTATTTTTGTGATAGAATACAATCTCAATAACAGATAACTGAAATCGACATAATAAATCACCCTATCATCGAAACCATCGCAACCGTAGTGCCAGTACTCATAATCCCCTTGCATCAGAACTGTTTCACCGCTGTCTGGTAAAGCTAGAGCTTCGTGAACATTTTTTAATAAATAATCGCAATAATTGACAGTCATCTTTTCCAAGTATTATTAAAGAAGCCTGAATAAGAAAGTGCCAGGTTTATTTATACGCAGACAAAACTATAACTTGCTATATAATTATTATTACTTGTACACGAATAAAACTATATCTTAATAATCATTAATATAATTATTGGCATAAATTGGCATAATTGTGACAATTGAAAATATATTTTAAACAGCTGAGAAACACTCCACCTAACACTACTTAACCTATACGAGTCTCAAATTAACACATCAATGAACCCGATTCAAGGCAAATTGAAATAATTATTTCTCCTTAATTGCACGTGTTCGTTACATGAAAGTAACCAAATAAATAATCGCGTTTATTAATTAATGTGACGTAGAACTTGCATGAAAGAAGAGTAAAAACTGTGGCGTCACCTATCAACACGTGCTCCGATTTTACCTTGCGTGATTTTACAACAAGATTTAATTGGAAATTAGAAGCTACGCGGATCAAATTATTATTATTCGCAATTAATATTCGCAACAACAAGAATCAACGTCCAAGATTAATGATGTCGAGGACAAGTTCAAAGCACACAGTAAAATGGAGCAAAGGCAAGGCAAGGTGAACCGTGGCGTCACCTGTCAACACGTGCTCCGTTTTCGCGTCGTGTGATTCTACGAAGTGGAATTTAATCGGGATTACGGGGGCAGTGTGAATTTGCGCGTCGATTTATTATTACACACACGATTGAATATTCAGAATATTTATTAACACCAAGGTTGATGACGTCGAGGACGCGCGCCAAGCACACTGATCGGTAAAATGGACGCTGGGATCTCGCAATGAGACGCCAACTGAAGCGCACGAGAGCGAGGAAAGAGAGAGTACAATAAAGAGGAAGCGAGACAGAAAACAAAAGAGAGGGCGAGACAGCAGACCGAGCGTACGAGGAAGGAAGACAGAGAGACAGAGAACAGAGCAGACACACGGGAAAGGCGGAAAAGAGAATCGCAAAGTACGCGTTCGTCACGCACCGAGAATCGCCTCGGCTGGCTGGAAAAAACGCGGCGTGTTTCTCAGGGAAAAATGAGAGCGACGAGCCCCATGCTCGGTAAGCCCATTAACGGCAATGTCGTCTTATCTAATTAGTTAAGTCGGTTAACGGACTCCGTACTGAACTTTCTGTCAGACAATCGTTTGACAGCTACACAATAGGCAGCTACTATCTATCGATTTTTCAATAATCGCGAAATTCGTGCTCATTAAAAGGATTTCGCGTGTCACGGCTTCATCTCGATATTCGCTTAACTCGCGCGTCGTTTCCGTGACGCAAATCGGAGCAGCGGAGATGCTAATAAGTGTTGAGACATTCTAGGTTATATTTGTGTGATGCTGGTATTGTTTTCATAGCTTCCTTAGACTCGACGTGTCATTCGACGCTTACTTGAGATAGCGTGAAACGGTTTGTTCAGATGATTCACACGTTATTAATTGCTTCTCCGTTTTATCGGGCGATTACTTTAGCAATCAAGCTACTTATTGTTCTGACATTTCATTATGGATTCCTTTTCATTTCTAGTGAAAGTATAGGAGGAGGATCCAACGTAACACTTGAGAAGGTAGGAAATGTACGGCGCCGAGAGGGAGGAGGTATCTGAAAGCTGGCTACACACGTATGACTTGAGTAGTACGATGATTCCCAACGCGAGCACGGCGATGGATGACGAGGAGCACTTCTGCAAGCTCATTCTGTACAAGGAAATCCAAGACTCAAGGTAGGATTTTCTCGCGAACGTTCAATCGACCGATAATCAATCAGTTACAATACTGTTTGTCGCTTTTACAGAGTGCGGATATGGGACATCGTCATTCTCGTGCCGAATCTCTTATTTCTTCTGTTTATTGCGATGCGATTCAACAGGGCGAGGCTTAAGCTGCGCGCAACGAGTAGTCCGATATTTTTAGCGTTTTACGGTCTCGTCATTTGTAACGTAGTTATATCGGTGATACGCTGTGTGGTGTCGATGACGGTGAACGCGGCAGCGTCGGTCGGCGGCAAGGCCGACAAGGTGCTCTGGGTCACAGTAAGGTTTTTTCTACTGTCCACTGAGATGAGCGTAGTGATATTTGGTCTAGCATTTGGTGAGTGACGTCTTTGGAATGAATGAAAAAGAAACGTATACACGCGTACCTGCTAACGTGCAAATTTTCTGCCGCTCTCTTTCAGGTCACTTGGACAGCCGCTCTAGCATTCGTAGAGTATTACTCGCTACGTCGCTTATAGCACTGGCATTCACGATTACGCAAGGAACGTTAGAATTAGTCCTGCCGGATGATACATTTCATATTCCCAGTCGTGACTTTTACGTGTTCGGTCACGGCGGCATGATGTTTTGGTTCTGCAGCAGTCTCGTTTTTACTACGGTGAGCACGCTCAAGCACGATGTTTTATCAGAAAACTGATGTACATGTTATTAAATATGTATATATCGCTTTTAGATATACCTCTTCATATTAATACTGCCATGGACACGGTTGCGGGACCGCTTAGCCCTTCCTAGTAAGAAGCTTCTATCGCAGATTACAATGTTTCATTAATGCTCATAGTATTGTATGACGCATTTTCTATTGTAGCCCGGAAAAGCTTTTACGTTTACGCCGGAACGCTAGCAACGTTGGATCTAGTGCAGTCAATTGGCGCGGGCTTTCTAAACTACACGCAAAATCCGGTGGGATTGTGCATCGTAGACTTCACCGCAGCAGTGTATCTAACTCTTTTTACGCCTTTGGTTTATCATACATTCCTATCGGAGTTCTTCGGGTAAGTTATTCGACAATATATATCGTTTAAGCGTCAAGAGTCGCGATTGCGCTTAAAAAATTAAATTAATCTTTCACTTATACAAAAAAAAAAAAAAAAAAAACACAAGAGCTACTCTCAAATATTAAATAGTGAAACAAAAAAAGAAAACGCAATAGTATTTGTTAACAGTTTTCGATATGAACAGAAGAAACGCGGTGCATTCTTTTCACTCGTATTCTTACGATCGCTTTCGACATTCAAATGATTAAACAAATGGATTGTATTATGATATGTAGCTAATACATTTTGGAAATTTTTCTCTATTTCAGAGTCTCGCAACCATCGATAATGTTCTCTTACAAAGCGCAAGTGGACGATGCGATGGACGAAGACACGGTATCGCTGCCGCATCAGCAGAGTTTCTCGTCCTTGAAAACCGACAGCGATTACATCTATCAGGTCCATACTCCTTCTGTTCACATACCGCTGTATGATTCCCAGGCATCAAAAACCTCCAAACTCAATCCCCGACCGGGAGCTTACTCCTTATCACCCTCTAAGTATCCCAAAAGTGATTCGAGTGTTTTCGCTTCGCCACGGTTGTATCACTCGACATCCGGTATTAGAAGCACCGATAAAAATCCCAGTATTGAGAAAGGTACCTCGGAATTAGCTAAATATCCCTTAATGAAATCAGATGCCGCGTCAGTCATCCAGAAAAGCGTGCCAGATCTAAGATCCAGCCTTTATCCGAACCGAAAGGACGATTCTGTAGCGCAAGTCGAGTACGGCGGTTCTAGTAGCGTTTCGAGCTTGCACTTCCTCGCTGACACCGCTAGTAACTTCCTCTACAGTCCGAAAGTAATCGACAGTAATGTTAATCTCTATTCGCAGACAAGGAAAGGTAGCTTAGAGAGTAAATTAGATAGCACGACCGTAGACGCGGCCACGGTTCCTAGCAGACACGATAGCTTCCCGGAAGTTCCAGCCCTAGAAAATACCTTGCAGGTCATCCTGGAGAGCGGAACGTACGAAATCAAAACAAAAGATTTCGAAGAATCTCGATTAAAGACGAGCGACACCGACACTTCAATCGAGGAGAGCGCCGCTGACGCAAATTCAAGTTACTTAACGACGCGTTTCGATGCTGAATATTTTAAAAGCCGCTCGGATGACACCGGCGTATCCGGCGCGTCAAATGTCACGCAGCAATTGCTTCCCAATTCGACTTCCTTTCGTATAACGGGTACTTGTGATTTGGAAACGAAGGCGGAACAGTCAGGTGGTTTAGGCGATTACCTACTATCCATAACTTCCCCGCACAAACATTATAAAAAATACGAAATGCCTGATCCTTTCTCAGATTCCGACTCCTAAACGCAAATTGAACCTTTGTAAATAATATATATATCGCTGTAGAGTCGGTTCACTGTACTTGTATATACAGTAGATAATCTTACAGGTTTGACGTTATTGCTAGTTATTCTGTTAATTATTAATCCCTATATTATAACGCGTACGGTGAGGTACCGCACGAGAGCTTGATCTAACTGTAAATATGTCTCAGCATGTTTAGAAGTACCTTACGATTAAACGTATGTAGCCAATGCACTTGGTTTCATTTATTTACACTAACTTTGGGCAATCTCCCACGGCAACAATACCATCCTGCTTCTTTACGAATGGAATCCTGTTAATATTTTCAAGCGGTGTTCCGTTAATGCGCGCAATATGCACTGTTTGCACCGAGCTTCAATGTTATAACGATATATACGAAACTCGATATCTTGTTGTTACAAAGTGCTTTTCGAAACGACTCGATTATCGCAGAGTTCGATTTATCGGTATTGATATGTTTATGCGATTTCTTTCATACAAACGCTTTTGTACATTGCATACGTAAAGACGTAGCTGTTGATATAATCTCCTTAATTAATTAACTAAGAGCCTGCCTCGGTAAATGCAAAGCGGAATATTGTGTCTTTTTTTTTTACAGAATCACAGCGTGTATGACTCGACCCAATTCGACACGAACGCTACGCCGATCAACCCGCTCTACGCGGCGTCTCTACAAAGTCCAGATAGTATTACCGGTTACAGTATAGACAGTCAAGAAGCGCCGAACCCGCCGAATGGTTATCAACAATAAGTCGTCGCGCATATCGATTTGGTGTGCGCTAGGAGTTACAAAACGAAACTTGGATACAAACAATCGTTCAACGATCAAATTATCGATTCTGTGAAGAGCTTCGTTAGCTCCGTCTCTAAAAAAGGAAATGCGATACTTTTTCTAGAAAAAGAGCGTGTTGTGCGATAAGAGTTCGGAATCAGAGTGAGGTGGCGCACGATTTATGTGTGAGTCTACGAAAGGATTCTAGTCGCTCTTAAATATTTCTAGGGCCGTAAAACACGCGATACGAATGCTTTCGGTCTTCATGTGATAGTTGGCGCTCGTGCCCAAATTGTGATTACGGAACGCTGGAAGAAATCTCGGAAAACACGGAATCTCCAGTTAGCTTTAGTTTGCTTTATCTAGGACAAGTTTTCGAAGGATTAGGGGTAGCGTTAATTCATATTAGTTTTGTACTTAAATAGATTTTGAATTGTCAACGCGAATTTTTACTGCACGTGGAATAGAAACTTCTTTTCGGCAGCATTTATGCATTTATCTCGAAATGTGAGAGATGTATAGGCCATTCTAAAATTCGCATACCTTCGCTCGATCACAGATGTGTTCTTTTTGTCGGTTAAAACATATCTGTGTCCAAGTAAAATTCCGTAAGACTATACATATAATTAAAAAGCAAAACTTCATATCAAAAATTCCTTCAATTATAACATTAATATTAATATAAATAATATATAAATAACATTAAAATGACATTAATATTAATACGCGGCTTTTGGAATGTCCTATACATATCTATGCGATTGTCAACGCGAAGTTATCATCCCCATCGATAAACGCTATTGTTTTATATCGAAAAACAGCAGGCTGGCGCGCCGGCCGTAAATTCCTAATAAGACAAACAAGAAACTTAGATTTAACTTTTGAAACTTGCTTATCGTTTCTCCGTCCTTCTCATCAAAGTGGACGTCGGCGTATCGCGCACGAAATGTCCCCTTGAGATCGCGCGTGAAACGCAACGCGCAAGCGACAAGCCGGACACTCGCTATTTTCCTACTTTTGCATCGAAAATCATTAGATCGATTAAGGACAATAGGAGTCATTAAAGTGACGCGTCGCGCGGAGGTGACTTTTAGACGTAAGGAAAATTCTTCGATCGCTCCAATAACTATTACGAAGACTCCATCCATGATGTATATACATGATCTGTATTCTAGTGTAAAGGATCGTACTATTTATATATATTAATATATACACACACACACATATTAATATATTTATCGACATGGCGTATCTCCGTATCGTAACTTTTTGTCGAATTTTTTGTCGAACAATTGGCAGGTCCTAGGACGCTTCCTCCTGCGCCGCTCGCGTTTTTCAATTTGGACGTTTATCGGTCTCGCGCAGGAGGGACAACAGAGAATACAAAAACTAGCGTTATAGTCGTCGAAGCATCTGTCACGCTATTCTCGAGGACGCGAGATTGAAACGTAGATCTTTCCGTTTTCCTCATATGAATTAGAGGAGGAGAAAATCAGGAGCAACGGAAATTAATAGTGATAACTGCGTATATTTTCTAGCGTTAATTCAGTCGAACTTGTATATACGAAACGGAATGCATGAAACGGTGTTACACAATGAGTCTCTATGTCAATTGCAATTGCTTTTTACCATCTCGATCACCCTGCACTCTTCACGAACGTTACCTGCGATCGTCTGACCGTGTGATTCTTTTGTAAGCATCGAGTGCAGTGTATAAGGCAATATTGTGACTGCGTTATATATATAGCTATATACTTGATTGAAAAAGAAAGATAAAAAATAAAAATAAATTACAATTACATGTAAATCGAAAATTCTATCCAGTCCTCCCGATTTATCCCAAGATGGCTAATATAAATTAACATAAATCCACGATTTTTACAATATGCAATTTAAACGTTCAAATTGCCATTTCAATTAACTTATAATTAAATTCGTATTGTAATGATAGAAAAATATTAATTTGGCCATTAAGGCGACTTCATAACTCTTAACTTGTAAATATAGTCAACAAAATTTTTATATTAAACAAAAAAATTTTTACGCTTAGCGTAAAGTAAGGGAAGTGAATGTGGATCAAAGATATTGCAGAGGAGTGGAAACTTTAGTTTTGTGAGTATTTGTTAGATGGCGAAACGAGTATACTTTAGATGAAAGAGACGTATGCTACATTCTATTTCAAAAAAGAATTAGCATCATATGGCAAATAATAATTTATTATAAGTCATATAAAATTATCGCAATTACTTCACGATATATATTTTTAAAAATGATAAAAATCATATTTTCTTAAGTGGCAAGGTAAGTGCAGTCTTTGCAAGAGCAATATTAAACGCCACTTCAAAATTCAATATACGACACAAATGAATAATATTATTTATCAGCAAAGTCTTCAGCATATATGAAGAGATCGTTGACTCGCGTTGCTTTGCGCACTGATCATTATACTTGACGTCACGAAAAACTTTCTCTTTGCATTAAACTCGGTCAATGGCGTGCGTTATTCAACGAGATTCGACGCAGGATTATATTCGCAGCCTGTTGCTGCCCAAGATTGGCAGATCGAGAAACAAGCAAATATTTCACAATACAGATCGTTTAACATGATTTGCGATACAAATAGTTCAAATAATGCAAATTGATTGGCAAATCGACCAAATAATTATCTCTCTTTCTCGCATAAATGTAAATTTTAAATCTTTTCTACCAAACCTTTTGTACCAGCTGTTCACAATTTAGACGGCAAAATAGGATAGAAATTCCAAATCTTACGCACTGCCGCGTCGTCGCACGCGAAAGCTCGAAGCACATTGCGATCTGAAATCAAAATAAAAGATTAATTATTTTAGTTCCTTTAATCGTTTTCATGTTCTGCAATGCAACTGTTAAAAAAATTGTTTTCTATTTTAGCTATACAAAAGCATTTTATCTAATCTGTAATATTATTGTTCCATGCATATCGTAAATCAATATTATGTTCAAGAACAATTAAAAGTTTATTCAAACACACTTTGACTCTACTAGTACGAACATCAGTAGCTTTCGTCTCCGCGGCGCGGAAGGACTTATAGTCCGCGCCAAATTGTATAGTCGTTAGATCGTCAGGGTCAATTTAGATTTGTTTACTGACTGTCAGTGCGCAAGTACTCCCGCAGGGGCCCGCTCAGCGCGGCGGCCGGCACCGCCAAGCTCATCCGCGGGTAGAGCACGGTGCCGTCCGAGGAAAGTGCGTTGCACACGACCATTCCCAGCATCTCGCCGGTTGCTTGGCTGATTATCGGCCCGCCGCTGGTGCCGCTTTGGACGCAACAGGTCGTCAGAAGCGCGCAGTCCAGCGACTTGGACACCACGCCGCTGCTGATGGTCGGCCGGATGGACGAGGAGAACGGAAATCCCACGGAAACCACCGGCTCGCCTACGAGCAGGTGCATACGAGGATGCGCTTATTAGGCCGGCGAATATTCAGTCACGAAATATTGCAATCAAGCAATTTAATAAATTATGGTATACATTTCACAATGTAATTTATGTGACTTAACTTAATTGACAAATATTATAAGAATGATGAAGCTGAGAAAGTTGCCAGCGCGCGAATTAGCTTCAATAAACAATTTAATTTACTTAACGAGATAATTCTAAGAATAATATAGTTTGTTCGCAAAGCGGATATTTTTAAAAACTTTGCGTCACTCCGTCAATAAAAGCGAAGCTCTCATGGAACGTGTGGCAATAAGCTTTTATTGCGATCGAGCAAATGGATGACTTATGTGTCGGTTTCTAAGTTAGAAAAAGGAGGCTAAATGTCAATTTCATCCCTAACGACGATCAATTGACCTAATTTTTTACGATTATATGTCATTTTTTCTCCCGATGGAAGAAGGTCAATGTTCTTGACGTTGAGGCGCCAAGAAACAACTTAACACGCTGCTGGATATATCGCTAATTTCCTCTTATTACGAGAAAGTTACGAAGGGTGAACATCAATATACGTGTCGTCGTTCCAGATGATAACAATTCGAAACAGCTAGAGTTATTATGGTCGACGCATCGCTTTCGAATCTTTAGATGAAAGTGAGAAGACTAAAACGTTTTCACACAAACATTTATTTTACTTTCAAGCAATATTGTAATTTGACAAAATTATTTTATTATTATATAAACAACACTTTGACAATCAATACATGATAAGAAATAATTATAACCGATCAATTGTAATAAAGTGTCCCTGTGTGAAAATTATGTAAAAATGAATTTGATGAATATATATATAAAGCAATAAAAAACTAAAAATACTTACCTTTCAAAATCGGAGCACGAGACAACTGTACGGATCTCAATGAGGGATCCAAATCCCGTAGATCCACTTTCAATACAGCGACATCATAAGGCTGATCCTCCGGAGTTCTGTACAACAGCTTTGCTCGCATACGTAAATTGGGCTTATCTGTATTCATCACGATTGATATCTCCCTTTCTGGAGCCTATCAGAATTTATATTGCGTTAGCTGTACTTTTGGTCTATATAAAAATTATATCTTTGCTATTCTTGTTTATCTAAATGTATTTATTAAACTATATTTGATTACATCCCTAAGTTGCTAAAAGTTTTACCTCCGCGACGACGTGTGAGCATGTCAGAAATGTGCCGGTGTCTTTATCTACGAGGATGCCTGTGCCCCAACTAATTCCACACCTAACAAGCACGACGCCTGCATCTAACGCTTCTATATAAAAAAATTTTTAAACGATATGTAAATTTATTTAAAAATAATAGAAAATAGTAATTATTAACAAACCATTTTTGTGGTATGCATGATCCAAAATCGGAGGATTCTTCCGTAAAATATTGAACAAGCACGGTGCAAGATTGGCGGCAAAGGTGTAATCCACCCATTCTCCGCGACACCAACTCAATGGCGCAATCACCATCCCAATGATAATTCTACGTTTGCTTAGCACCGACATAAAGAAAATTGCCGACATAAAAAAATAATTAATGACTAAATTAATTATTAATAAAAAAATTAAAAATTCTCTATTAAATTTCTATATAAAAGTCTCTTAATTTCTATTAAAATTTTGTTAAAATTTACGTTTTAAAATTATTAATCAAAATGATCCGACACGCACAATTTACGATTTGCATAATATTTGCGACTTGCATGTTGACGCACTCGAGTTAAAATAGAATGTAAAGAATCGCTCCATTATTCTCTCAACAGTAGACGGATTCAAGAGATCTTCGAATAAAGAAAGCGACAACAGACGCACGCACTTCAAGCGTTAAGAGTCACCATAATTACCAGTCCGGCGGGATGACGTAGACGGGACCACCCTCGCCACCAGGAAACGCGTATGCGTCCGTCATGATGACGCAGCTCTCATCGCCGACGACGTTGCTGATAACACCCCGCGCGATCGAGTCGATGAACACGGGATTGCCGAAGGGCGTGGACTCGATTTCCACGGACGATCCGCGGACAGGATTACGCAGAGCTCGGTCCAGCAGACGAAACAGGACTTGTTCAATCGTTGGAATTTCCACATTCGACTCGTCGGAATCAGAGATGCGGATGAGAAGAAAAATCGGTCGCAGAAGCCGATCGTGATCGGACGACTTCGAGAAACTCCACGTTTCGAAGAACTCGTCGAAGGTCTTCTTCAAGAGTGAACACTTCCAGACAGTCACGATCGTACCGAAATGCTCCTGAATGCGCACATTATTGTCTGTACGAGAGAGATTGCTCGTTTCTTTCTCTAAATTGCGATACACTCGAAATCTCAACTCGCTCGCAAATTTTCTTGGCATCATCGTGAGCTCTCCTAATGATATGTTCTTAATGAAGCTTGATAGCGCATGAGACTTGTCGATGATCGGACTCAATAAGGTACCATGTGTTAATATCCAATCTTTTGAGATTGAAATACCGGAACTTCCTCGTGACGTTAGCGGATCTTTGCCGTTCAACGAGTGAAGTAAAAGCGCGCCACTCGGGGTGTCCATTCTTTTTTCAACGATGCTGTACATAGAAAAAAATCGGAGCTTGTCGATTTCCAGTAACCAAGTTGGAAAAAAGATGAATATTTCGTGAAAATCAAAGTGTATGCTGAAATGTTTTTTCAAGAAAACATAATGCAATGTTCAATCTTCAATTTTTTTTTAAATGACATAAAATTAGTGAAATTTCTGAAAAAGTCTGTATGTATAACATTCACATTTAAACATTACTTTGCATATATTAATTTAAATAGACAATATCTACTACACATTAAAATATACATAAAATTTTCAAAAACCGAATAATTTATCCTAGAAATACTTACTTCTGTACTGTAAATAAGATGTTAGTAGAGTTTTCATAAGAAAATTAAATTCTTAATTAATCAAAGATCATGTTATAAAAATCATTATGTGTGATAATGATAAAATAACTACATAATAAATGAGTTTCCTATTTCTGTTCGTGCACCTGATCAGGACACGGCGTGGCACACGTGCTGTCCGCACCTGTTACGCCTAAGTAATAGTGCGTTTTGCAACGGCAGATATATTAAGCGATCAAACTTCAGAACACTCTCTCGCGGGCAGCGCAGCTGCCTTATGCATCGTGCAATTCAACGGTGAAAGGGTTAATTGTCGCGAGCGCGGCACCGTGAAATCGCGGTTGCTCGTTCGATAAAAAGGGCCGCCGACGTGTATGTGTAGAGTGAAAAAAAATGATAGATAAAAGCAGAAAAAATGCGGTTATCGCTGCGTAATCATGAGTCACCGCAAAGCGCGGTGAACCAAAAAGATCGAGATCAGGAGTGGAAGAGCGACGAAGACAAGAATGACTTGTGTTTGTGCGTCGCGGTTTGCGAGCTAAAGTATCTTCTTCTAAATAACGTGTGATTATGGCCGCATACTTAAACGATAACATACTTAAGTGACTGTAAAAAAACGAGAATTCCTCAGCTTTAAGATGGCAAAATTTGAAGAATATATTTTGCCTAGCGAGAAAATCTCTTGCTTAATCCGATAATTTCCTTGTATTTTTTATTGCAATTATAATATTACTTAGTAGCTAATTTTTACTCTATCCGTTGTTATATTACTATAAATTGTCGTATTAGTGTTTTAACTACGTTATTAATTTTTTGTCACTTTAAAGATCAACTGCATTAAATAATAATATGCCTTCTAGTATTTCTTTAATAAAATTGCGCATTATTTGCAAAATTCTTGGCAAGAATATTTTAGATTTATTTTAGTTTTAAAGAAAAATATCTTAGGATGCCAGAAACTGCATGACGCACTAAGCAGCAGTAATTTGTAAATTTTTGCTCTCTTGTCAGGAGCAAAGTGGAGCAGGAAAGTCTTTCAGGATAATAAAAAAAATGCCGAAAATAATTGTGACTCAGCAGAAACAGCGGGGCATGATAAAAAAAAGGTAACGCGAAATCTACACGAAAAAGATGAACGAGAATACGTCACACATTTATATTATAGTATATAGTAGTAGTATATAGTATAAGTGTATGACGTATTAAAAGGCCTTTCTTGGAACAGTGAACGTTAGTAAAGAACTCGTTTGACGGCACGTGTCACAAAAATAGAAAAAAAGGATCCAAGACGGGAGTGATAGGGCATCTAAAAATAAACGCGGACAGACGGCAGATGTTGAGAAGTCTATGATGAGACGATTATAAATACAGTTGTAGTCAAATATAGATGTACAGACTAGACTCGGCGCTAGAGAGACCAATTATAGATCTCTAGATGGAAATAAAAGTAGAGAAAGAGAGAGAACCAAAAAAGAAAGAAACACGCGCGTATACGCGTCAACGCGCCATTCTAAAGTTTAATTGTGCGGCCCGACCGTGTTTTTGTTCTGACCCAAGTAATAATGGTCCTAAAGCTATTCAGGTAACACCGCAGACGAAATTTCAAGGTAATGCTATCGAAATTACACGTCGTCCTCTTAAAAACAGTTTGTTACAGCGTAATTAAAAATATAATTTCTACATCGTTTATAAAAAAAATTTACGCATTTTTATAAAGTAATTCTAAATCCGTGACAATTGGCTTTACAAAATATTAGTCTGTAACATTTAAGTCACAGATTTCCTTCTAAATTATTCTCTCTTGTACTGTAATATTGTTAATTCGTTATCTCCTCCTCGACATCACATGTGCAAAGTTTTATTAAGTAGAAAAGCTTGCTTTAAAATATGTCGATTTTTTTTAGAAATAATGTATTATCTATATGACACCCCCTCTAATATGTATTTTTCTCACGTAGTATAATTTTTTTCAGAAAAACGTTCCAATTTTTCACATATTATTAAGACGACATTGCGGAAGATATTTAATGTTCACTGAAACTTCGTCTCATGGCCCCCCCCCACCCCCCGCCGCTTTCGAATTCGCCGATGCTTCCTCCCGATCAACTTCTGTGCTCTCGTCTTCTTGCTTCCTCCCGACAATGATGGCCGTGCGACCGCTTGCCAGCTTGCCGGCCGATCTTCAATGAAGATTGCCGGCTATCCGGTCCACCCGTGTTTCTTCTTCTTCTGCCGCTCGTATATTAACCGCTTGCATACGAGAAGTTACACGCGAAGCATACGTAAACTGGCATCATCAACCGTGTGCAATGTAAAAGTAACGTTTGTTTTGCGAATCGAAGTCGCAAATTGAAAAAAGAATATCAATGTCAATGTCACAATTCAATACTAAATTTCGATATTTAGTAATAAACTGATAGTTTTAATTGGGAAAGCAAAAACAAGATTTGATTTATGAAATAATTGTGACGATATTTTTCTTTCTTAATAGTTCTTAAAAAGAATTTTATTCGCAGTTTGAGTAAAACAAAATGCGAAGATAAGATAGAACCGGATAGTTTAATGAATGCACGATCATTTCGTTTTGCGTATCTTTCTCCCTAAAGATCTCTAAAAATGTGTCGTTATCTACGAATATGCATCTCATTTATATTATAGCGAAAAGTTAGATAAACGCCTGATTAACATTCATGAATTAATTTTATTATGTCTATAAAAAATATTGCCGTAATTAAATCTAAGCAAACATTGGCGAAATGTGTAAAAAAACAAACAAATAAATCGATTTGGAGAATCGAGATTTGAAGACGAGATGAGAGAAAAAAGCTATTCGAAAATTCTCTAAAGAAAACCTAAATTCTCTAAACCTGAATTCTCTAAAGAAATTATGCTAAATAAATAACCATTATCATGGCATTCAAAATTTATTTGAAATTAAATGAAGAATAAGATCTTTTGTTATGTTTGTGCAGCTTAATTTGCGAAAATTTCTAGAGTTTTAATCGACTTATATAATAATTATATGTATAATAGTTTCAATTTTTTGGCAGAAGTTTCAACGCATGCAAGATCGACGATTGTAAATATCTCAGCGTATGCATGTATAAAGCCGACATTCGGCCGCGTTTTACAAGTCACCCAATATATGCACCGGTGGAGTAAGTCGCATTGCTCGACTCTTTCGCTCGGGACATCCGTGCGTCACCACCCACCGCGATTTTCCCTCCTCCCCTCCCGTCGCTCGTTCCCATTATGCCGAGTAATCCTTTTGTATATTTAAGCGCGAGCGCGAGGAGCAAAAAGCGCGCGGCCACGTCTTCGCCGCGCCTGTTCGATAACTGACCGGTTCTACTGCGCGGCGCGGCGAGGCGGCGTGCCGCTATCTAATTTTCTGCTCGTGACTTAGATCGAATAACGATGGTCTTCCGTACCATTTAAGCCGCCACGCCGCTCGCGGCGCACGTTCAATTACTGAAACATCGCGCGGGTAATCGGATTTCGCGAACGCCGCCGTGGAAATTGTGCATGTTCGCTGGCCGCGGCGCAGGTCTCGAGAGAGCGCGAGCGAGCTCCTTCAGCGCTCGCAATTTATGCGATAATTAATAAGTACTCGCCGCGCGCGCGGATCGGCCGCCGGATGGCCGCTAGCAGTGGTCATTCGAGTTTGATTTTTGTTCCGCGAGAATCTTAGAAATCCGCACGCATTTTTAAAGCGCCCCTACATTGCTCCTCGCACTTTATCATTCCATTAAAAATATATCATCGGAGTTGTCGATCTATAATAAAATTAAATGATTAATTAGGTGATTAGATAAATATTTAAGTTGATGTATAATATGATCTTGAAAATTGACGAGTTTCGAAATCGACAAATTCGCACTTGAATCAACTTCAAATACATCGACAGCGCCCTGACGTATTTCTCTATCACAAAGGAACATCTCTATATAAGCATATGATGTGTCAAGGTCGTTACTGATTCGGCCCAAGGTCATCCTTGGGTCGATCATGCCTAGAAAACACGTAGATCGCGCTAACTCGACGATCATCGAGCGGAGTCCGCTCGTTTTCTTCTTATCACCGGGGGATTGGCTTCCTTTCGTGGTAAACGAAAAATCGAGCTCTCGTTCGGGATGGGAAATCGCCGGCGTTGGCAAAAGGAAGAAACTGTAAGCAGGAGAAGCCGCTGGGGCGTGTCCGGGACTAGCAAGCTGGACTAGTTTTTGCTCGAGTCTTGCACCGGTAGACCGCTTGGCACCTCGGCAACGTACGGTGCACCGTGCAGCTCGTTATCGTGCCGGCCGGAACATGATCTCCGCCGGCGAGCTCTCGATGGAGAAGCAATCGCCGCGGCTCGCTTACTTTCTAGCGTCAGGACGATTGACTTCGCGAAAAATAAGCGAATTCGAAAGAATCGATAAATATTCATTTTACGATGTTAGAAATTTTTAATCGTCTGATCGACTGTTGACTCATTCCTTGCAATTTCTTATGACGTTCCTTAATTTATTTGAGTTTTAGATTTATTAATTTCAATAATTTCATATTTTTGACGAGATAATTGTAACAATAAAAAATAAATGTTACACAAATTAACAAGTGAACATTAATTTCTATTCTTATATACGATCGCCGTAAAATTAACTAACAAGCTATGAGCCGAAAAACATTGATAGGAAAATTTATAGTGATTTAA